AAGATGTTGAAGAGTGCTTGGCCTAAAACAGAGCCTTGGGGTACTCCACTGCATACTTCCCTCCATGTAGATGCAGTTCCATCCAAATCCAGCCCCACCGGAAGGAAAAAAACTAGAGGCAGTTTGGAACTCACAGCAGTTCATTTATGACCGAAGTTACGACGGCACTGAAAAATGTAACTTATGACTGTTTTTCACACTTACAACCCCCATGGGCACAAGATCAACATTCAGACCCTTGGCAATTGACTCATATTTGTGACGGTCGCAGTGTTCCAGGGTCATGCAATCCCCGTGACCTCCGGAAGAAGCGACAGTCAATAGGAGGAGCAAAGTCATTCTTTTTTTGGGAGGGTGGGGGGAAGCCAGATTCACTTAACAACTGTGTTACTAACTTAACAACTGTGGTTGCTTCCTTTAACAACCGTGTCAAGAAAGGTCGTAAAACAGGGATAAAACTCATTTAACCAATGCTAAATGCTATTTATGTTTATGAAACATTGGGAAAATGATGAAGGATTATGGAAAGAGACTAATATTGTTGAAATTGGAAGATTTGATGTATACACACATGTATTTGCATGAGTATTGTTTATGTGGTTTGAAAAAGAGTTGACCCAGTCAATGTACTGTTCATAAAATGGGTCTATTTATGTTGGAAAAAAATAAATTAAAAATTGAATGGGAAAATATCCCAGGAACTTGTGGAAAAAGCTTCTAACAATTTCTGCAGCCAGGATCAATCAGATAGACAGGTTTGTCCAAATCTCCTTATTTCCATTGCCAGAGGGTTGCAAAATAAAAAATAAAAAAGCCTAGTCATTTTTTTTTCTTTTTTACTTTGCGCGCGCTATTAACATAATTTATTCTGGCACTTTTAACGTTAGATTTATATTTGTATTTTACGTCAGAACGTGGCGGCAACATTGGAACTACAACTCCCGGCATGCTCAGGAAACCAAAGCGCATGCGCGCCTCCCTCCCCAATACCTTCACGAAGGAATCTGCGTCTTTAAACCCCGGCAGCACCATCGCCGCGCCGCTGTTTTCCATCGCCGGCGCCTCGGAGGAGCTTCCTAAGCCCTTGCCGCTCTCCGCCGTCGCCATGGCCCACCAAGGTCGAGGCCCACCGCGCTACCGTCACAGGGCCCCCTTGCAAGCAGCCACCATACTAGGCAGCAGAGCCACGGCGATCCACAGCACAGGCGAAATCTCGCGTTTTCTTGCGCTCTCTCCCTTCTTCTCGCGAGATTTCGTCCCAGGGCCATCCAAAACGTTCAGACCGCACTGTCTGTGGCAGAGGTCCCCAAACTTGGCAACTTTAAGACTTGTGGACTTCAACTCCCAGAATTCTAGCTGGCTGGAGAATTCTGGGAGTTGAAGTTCACAAGTTTTAAAGTTGCCAAGTTTGGGGACCTCTGGTCTATGGAGATTCTCAGTCCTTCAGGTCATGGTTCTTCAGCTCTGACTGAATGGTGGGAATGAACTGAAGAAGCTTCTTGGAAGAGAAGCGAAAATCTTCAAAGAAAAACCAGGAAGTTCAATTGCTTCTTGGAAAAACAAAAGCACCTTTGGGGTTGGAGCAGAGTTTTGGGAAAGCCAGGTTTTACACAGCCTTGTTTCAGAGGGTTGTATTTCCCTCGCCCTCTTTAACAGCGTTGTTAGAAGCATCCCTTTACCGATAGAGAAAGGCAACTGATTTCTCCTTTTCTCGTTCTATAATTCTCTAAGTATAGGATATAGAATAACTTTATTGTCACTTTAAATGTATGCTGATCGGCCTACATTAAAATGAAATTTCGTTGCATACAAAGTTTAGGAGCCATTGCATGATGTCAGAATCAAGCTGGAAGGTTGTAGGCAGACCTGCCTACAACTCAAGAATGGACATTGAAAGTTACAAACCTAGCCGAGATGGCTAAAATATTGGCATATCTTAAAGATTATTCAAATGAGAGGTATAAACGAGACTGGAAA